CCCTTCCACCTCAGCCACCTTCTTCGAGGGAAGCCGCTCCCCTCGGCATATCCCTGCACAAGATGCTGCCCCTTGGCGACTGACTGACATGGGGAAAACCGTCCGGCCCCCCCGTTGACAGTGCCTCCATCAGCCGAGAGCGGGTCTTCTTTTCCGATCACCCCTCCTACCGGGGCCTGCGTGATGTCTGTGGGACCCCTTTTCTCGCGGCCTACCTGAGCAAGCTGCTTGAGCATAGCATTCGAAACCAGTTGCCCAAGATCGAGGATGAGATCTTGCAACATGTTGCCATCCTGCAGGAGCGCCTTCGCCGGGCGGGATCCCTGTCGCCCGTGCCATCAGACCCCCTCGAGCAGGTGTGTCTGCCTTCGTCCTCCACCTTGCCAGCTCGCTCCAATCCATGCTTTCCCCCAGGGCCGCCACTCCGTGCTGCCCCCTGTATGGGCATCGGCCCTGGTGGTGCTCTCACCACCACCAGCGCCACTGCGACCAGCCCTGGGCCTTCTACTTATCTATCTCTCCTCCTGCTGTCCCCCCCCCCTCCCCCTCGCTCCCCTGGCCTTGGTTCCATGCAGTCCCAACTTCTCCTGTCTCTCCTGTCCGACTTCTCGCAATCCGTCTCCAACGCCATTAACGGATATGTCGATGCCTCGACCCGGCACGCCGGGCCAGCCGCCTCGGAGGAGGTGACTGCGGTGGACAGTTTCCTCGAGTCCCATGCGCCGCGAGCATCAATGCTCCATGGTGGATCTCGTCTGTTTGATCTCTTCCAAAACCGCTTCCCCGAGCACATGCTCGCGATCGACCCCTGTCAGGGGCTGTCCGACGCGGAAATCCACTCGACGCTGCTCAACTCCTCGGGCATGCGTGCCCGGCTTGGGCTCACCTGCGACGCGGCCTTCGAGCACCTGGTCAAGCGTCAGATTCCCCTGCTACTCGGTCCGTCTCTTCGGTGCTTGGACACGGCCTTCGAGGAATTGTGGCACATTGTGGGCAAATCCTCTCGGATGGTGCGTTCAGGTCGCTGGCCATGCATTCCATCGGGAATCCCACTTCGAGCCTGGAGAGCCTGCCGATGCTTTTGTGGGCCTGCTCCGCCTTGCTTTTCCGTTGGTGTTCCTGCTCTTGCTGCGGTTTCTGCTTCGCTTTCCGCTGCCGCGGCGTTTCGCTCCTCCCTCCGGGCTCGAGCACTCCCGCTCCGATGGCCTAACCCCCCCTGCTCCCCTCCCCTCATGCCCGCTTGTCCGCAGCAACTTGGCCGGTTCCCGCGATTGGAGGTCCAAGCTCTGCGCACCACGCGGGACATCATGACGCAGGGTCTGGGCCCTGCGCGGACTTTCATCCAGTCGCTGGTGGACATCGAGTGCTCCTTCATCAATATTTCACATCCCGACTTTGTGGCCTTCAAGACCTCCATGCGGCGAGCGGAGATGACCCGGTGGACTGAGCCCTCCGTCGAGGGGAGCCTACTGTCCAGCTCGATCGGGGCAAATGGCCCCGGCATGGTGGATCTGGCCGAGCCAATCTCACCGACGCCTGTCGGGAAAACCATCGGGCGTGGCCTGGCAAACTACCTGTGGCGCGGTGGCGTCGGCGGGGGTGCCCCTTCGACGCCCGGTGGCGAGCCCCCGGGCGACATGTCTTCCCCGGGTTCGGGGCCTGGTGGGGGCAGTGTCACCATCGGGCCGCCATCTCCCCCCTCCTTGGCCGAGTCGAGCTACATCGGACGCACGAGCCCCGGGCTGCCGCCGGTGGGGAGTGTGTCCCCGAGGAGCCCCTTTTCCTCGAGCGAGCGCGAGGACATCGGCCTTTTGCGGCAACTGGTCGATGGCTACGTGCGGCTGGTTCGCGCGCGCCTACTGGACCTGGTGCCGAAGGTGGTGGTGCATCACCTGGTTCGGCCCTTCACCGGGAATACTCTTCACAACAGCCTGATTGCCCAGTTGCACCATCCGGCGCGCGGCAGGTCGACTGGTGTGTCCGGCGAGGCGGCCAGCGCCGACTCCGGCCACCGGACCCCGCTGAGCCACTATTTGCACGAGCAGCCGGTGGTCCGAGCCCAGAGGGTGCGTCTGGCCAGTCGGCTGCAGGCATCGGAGCGCGCCTTGACTGCGGTCCGGGCATTTCTCTATCATGGAGCTCTGCCGGGCGAGGGTGATGATTTGGGGAATGTCCGCCTGGCAGGCGGATCGGCTGCGGCGCCCCTCTCGCCGGTGGGGCCTGGCCCCGAGTCCGGGCCGTGGGCCCGGCAGCCGAACCCCGTGGCCAGTCCCCGCGAGGAGGAGGATGAGGACCTGCTCTTTGAGGATGCGCGTCCGATTGTCCACCGGCACATTGCCCAATCGCCCCGGACGCGGGCGACGACGACGACGGCGGCGGCGGCGGCAGTGGCTGCCGTCTCGGGGGCGGCCACTGCCGAGAAGGATGGTCCGGATGTCGTGGACGATGATCTGTTCCAGTCGGCGACCAAGTTCCGTGCGCCGTACTCCACGCCCCCCGTAGCGGCGGTGCCGGGCCAGTCACCTTCCTCGACGGGGCCCACTCACACGGGTCCGCTTTCACCCATCATCGGCACCATCAGTCGGATGCTGTGGGGCTGAGTCGGACATGCCTTTCCCTGTCTTCCGCTTATTGTTGTTCCTCCCCCTCCCTCGCCCTCCGTGGCTCTTCTTTCTTTTGCCCTTCTCCCCCCCCCCCCCCCCCCCCGGCCGCAACCAAGGGGGGGCCGGCCGGGAAGAGGGCGGTATGGCCGGATTCCGCGATCTTCGCTCGCTCCGGAGGGCCGGGATCCCCTGTGCGCGCGGTCAATTCATTGGCACATTGGCCCCTTGTGTGTGTGGTCCGCTTGCCCGTTGGCTGCGGTGGGCGGGCACCTGGAATTGCCAACGAATACACACGATCG